ACTTTGAATAAATCACACAAAGGGAGCTCTGCTACATATGAAACCCTGACCCAGAACCATGTTGTCTATGAATGATTTAACACCCGGCTCCCTGTAAACTTGCAGTGTGCTACAGGTGAAATGTGGCCCCCTTCTGGCCTTGCTCTGCTCCCAAGAGACATCTCTGCACACTAGGCTGGGTGTCCTGGCTATCTGAGGGCAATCAAGTTTCCTTGGCACTATGGGACTTGGGCATGTGACTTGACATGAGATGAGAAATGCCATGCCAACAATGGGCTGCAGGCATGGCGGTTGTTGTTTTGTTTGATACTATGTTATGTATTTCTGTGTTTATATATTGTAATCTGCTTTGTGGACCTCGGATGAAGGGTGGTATAGAAATTTAATAAAGAATAAATGATCAATAATAACATGTCCTGGATCCAGAGAGAGTGATCAGTGCACAACTGTGTGACCAAAAGAAAATTTTCCCATCATGTACTCACAATAAAAGCTACCGTATTTTTATATTGGAACTCTGTGGGCAATGTATGAGAGTTGAGTCCTACATATTTTTATATCCACCCATGTTATTTACCATGTTAATAGTGTTGCCATATTATAGTCCCACTGAGCGATTTTATTAAGCGGCCCTGTGGCATCTTCCATGCTGTGCTTGTCGTTGTCACATTGTTTTCATGTGGGGAAAAGGACATGCAGGAAAGAAAATGGTGCTTGGGAGATGAAACAGAAGTCTGAGTAATATCTTATCTCATCTCCCTGCCTCCCTCTCTTTCTCTCTCGGCGGTGTTTTTCACAGGTCAAAAATCAATTAAGAGCATATTTCATTGGGAACACTTTAAACAATGTAATATTTCATTAAATATTACTGCAAGCTCCATCAGATTTGCAGTCCAAGTGTGAATTACAAAATTACCCAGATTCTTTTAATAAGTTTCTTCAAGCTTACAGGCACTATAATGCAAGATACTCATTGTGTGGCTAATTCCATAGAGAGTATGTTTATGGAAATTAATATTCATTTGTGTTTATATACTGCTGCAATTTATCATCTGTATTTTCCCATATAATACCCACTGACCAAAGGTATGTGGTCTTCTTTGTGACACCACAGATTTATAAAAACAAGGAGTCCATGGGTGAAGTAATTTCCCTAGACAATAACTCTTAAGTTATTCCTAGATAATAACTCTTACTCCCCTATGAGGAAGCATTGCTATCCCATACAGCTTTGCAGCTCCTCTCATACAGTCCTTGAATATGTGTGGAGGATCACCTTTGTTGTTGTTGTTGTTTAGTCGTTTAGTCGTGTCCGACTCTTCGTGACCCCATGGACCAGAGCACGCCAGGCACTTCTGTCCTCTACTGCCTCCCTCAGTTTGGCCAAACTCATGCTGGTAGCTTCAAGAACACCATCCAACCATCTCATTCTCTGTCATCCCCTTCTCCTTGTGCCCTCCATCTTTCCCAACATCAGGGTCTTTTCCAGGGAGTCTTCTCTTCTCATGAGGTGGCCAAAGTATTGGAGCCTCAGCTTCACGATCTGTCCTTCCAGTGAGCACTCAGGGCTGATTTCCTTAAGAATGGATACGTTTGATCTTCTTGCAGTCCATGGGACTCTCAAGAGTCTCCTCCAGCACCATAATTCAAAAGCATCAATTCTTCGGCGATCAGCCTTCTTTATGGTCCAGCTCTCACTTCCATACATCACTACTGGGAAAACCATGGCTTTTACTATACGGACCTTTGTTGGCAAGGTGATGTCTCTGCTTTTAAGATGTTGTCTAGGTTTGCCATCGCCTTTCTCCCAAGGAGCAGGCGTCTTTTAATTTCGTGACTGCTGTCACCATCTGCAGTGATCATGGAGCCCAAGAAAGTAAAATCTCTCACTGCCTCCATTTCTTCCCCTTCTATTTGCCAGGAGGTGATGGGCCCAGTGGCCATGATCTTAGTTTTTTGATATTGAGCTTCAGACCATATTTTGCGCTCTCCTCTTTCACCCTCATTAAAAGGTTCTTTAATTCCTCTTCACTTTCTGCCATCAAGGTTGTGTCATCTGCATATCTGAGGTTGTTGATATTTCTTCCGGCAATCTTAATTCCGGCTTGGGATTCATCCAGCCCAGCCTTTCGCATGATGAATTCTGCATATAAGTTAAATAAGCAGGGAGACAATATACAGCCTTGCCGTACTCCTTTCCCAATTTTAAACCAATCAGTTGTTCCATATCCAGTTCTAACTGTAGCTTCTTGTCCCACATAGAGATTTCTCAGGAGACAGATGAGGTGATCCGGCACTCCCATTTCTTTAAGAACTTGCCATAGTTTGCTGTGGTCGACACAGTCAAAGGCTTTTGCATAGTCAATGAAGCAGAAGTAGATGTCTTTCTGGAACTCTCTAGCTTTCTCCATAATCCAGCGCATGTTTGCAATTTGGTCTCTGGTTCCTCTGCCTTTTCTAAATCCAGCTTGCACTTCTGGGAGTTCTCGGTCCACATACTGCTTGAGCCTTCCTTGTAGAATTTTAAGCATAACCTTGCTAGCATGTGAAATGAGTGAAATTGTGCGGTAGTTGGAGCATTCTTTGGCACTGCCTTTCTTTGGGATTGGGATGTAGACTGATCTTCTCCAATCCTCTGGCCACTGCTGAGTTTTCCAAACTTGCTGGCATATTGAGTGTAGCACCTTAACAGCATCATCTTTTAAAATTTTAAACAGTTCAGCTGGAATACCATCACTTCCACTGGCCTTGTTATTTGCAGTGCTTTCTAAGGCCCATTTGACTTCACTCTCCAGGATGTCTGGCTCAAGGTCAGCAACCACACTACCTGGGGTGTACGAGACATCCATATCTTTCTGGTATAATTCCTCTGTGTATTCTTGCCACCTCTTCTTGATGTCTTCTGCTTCAGTTAGGTCTTTACCACTTTTGTCCTTTATTATGGTAATCTTTGTACGAAATGTTCCTTTCATATTTCCGATTTTCTTGAACAGATCTCTGGTTCTTCCCATTCTGTTGTTTTCCTCTATTTCTTTGCATTGCTCGTTTAAGAAGGCCTTCTTGTCTCTCCTTGCTATTCTTTGGAAATCTGCATTCAATTTCCTGTATCTTTCACTATCTCCCTCGCATTTTGCTTGCCTTCTCTCCCCCGCTATTTGTAAGGCCTCGTTGGACAGCCACTTTGCTTTCTTGCATTTCTTTTTCATTGGGATGGTTTTAGTTGCTGCCTCCTGTATAATGTTGCGAGCCTCCACCCATAGTTCTTCAGGCACTCTGTCCAGCAAATCTAAATCCTTAAACCTGTTCCTCACTTCCACTGTGTATTCATAAGGGATTTGGTTTAGATTGTATCTTACCTGTCCAGTGGTTTTCCTACTTTCTTCAGTTTAAGCTTGAATTTTGCTATAAGAAGCTGATGATCTGAGCCACAGTCAGCTCCAGGTCTTGTTTTTGCTGACTGTATAGAGCTTCTCCATCTTTGGCTGCAGAGAATATAATCAATCTGATTTCGATGTTGCCCATCTGGTGATGTCCATGTGTAGAGTCGTCTCTTGTGTTGTTGGAAAAGCGTGTTTGTGATGACCAGCTTGTTCTCTTGACAGAACTCTATTAGCCTTTGCCCTGCTTCGTTTTGATCTCCAAGGCCAAACTTGCCAGTTGTTCCTTTTATCTCTTGATTCCCTACTTTAGCATTCCAATCCCCTATAATGAGAAGAACATCCTTCTTTGGTGTCACTTCTATAAGGTCTTGTAAGTCTTCATAGAACTGGTCAATTTCAGTTTCTTCAGCACCAGTAGTTGGTGCATAAACTTGGATTACTGTGGTGTTAAAAGGTCTGCCTTGGATTCGTATCGAGATCATTCTATCATTTTTGAGACTGCATCCCAGTACAGCTTTCGCCACTCTTTTGTTGACTATGAGGGCCACCCCATTTCTTTTACGGGTTTCTTGCCCACAGTAGTAGATATGATAGTCATCCGAACTGAATTCGCCCATTCCCGTCCATTTTAGCTCACTGATGCCCAGGATGTCAATATTTATTCTTGCCATCTCATTTTTGACCACATCCAACTTACCCAGGTTCATAGTTCTTACATTCCAGGTTCCTATGCAATATTTTTCTTTACAGCATTGGACTTTCCTTTCGCTTCCATGCATATCCACAACTGAGCGTCCTTTCGGCTTTGGCCCAGCCGCTTCATCAGCTCTGGATCTACTTGTACTTGTCCTCCGCTCTTCCCCAGTAGCATGTTGGACACCTTCCGACCTGAGGGGCTCATCTTCCAGCGTCATAACTTTTATATGCCTGTCTTTGTCCATGGAGTTTTCTTGGCAGGGATACTGGAGTGGCTTGCCGGTTCCTACTCCAGGTGGATCACGTTTGGTCAAAACTCTCCACTATGACCTGTTCATCTTGGGTGCCCTGCTCGGCATAGTTCATAGCTTCTCTGAGTTCTTCAAGCCCCTTCGCCACGGCAAGGCAGTGATCCACCTTAAACCCCCTTTAATCTTCTGAGATCCTAACTGAATTCATGGCTGGATTTTGATTTGGGCTAGTGACTTCAGAGCGAATGTTCTTAACCACTGTGCTACACTACTGTGCTCCTTTCCTGAGAAAGAAAAATGATTTTATCTCTATATTAAGGAGGCACGCAGGGTACCTTGGTGTTCAGAGTTTAGGTCCAACAACATCTGAGGACCCAAGATTGAAGAGCATTGCTTTAGAATTATCCTGTCCTTTATTGTGAATAGTCATTAAAAACATAACATTGCCTTGCTAGGTCTACCCAAAGGGCCACCTAGTCTAGCAGTAAGCCTCACTCCAGTTGATCTTGGGAAGCTCCCTAGCAGGATCACATCATTTTGGGCACAAATGTTTGGCTTGACAATAATGCAAGGTAGGAATGAACTAAAAAGGAGGACCATAGCTCTCAATGGTCACCTTACAGTCCAAGAGTTGTGCAGAAAACTGCAACAGAATTATGACAGGGGGAAATTATTGGAGGATAGCTCAGTTGGTAGAGCGTGAGATTCTTAATCACAGGGTTGTGGATTTGAGACCCACACTGGGCAAAAAGATACGTGCAGGGGGTTGGACTAAATGACTCTCATGGTCTCCTCCAATTTTGCAATTCTATTATTCTAAGTCTAGGAGCCCCAGGTCAAAGTGAAGGTAATAAGGTTAGCAACTGTGCCTGATGTTTAAAAGTTGCCTGTTCAGTGACCACCAAATAATGCTTGTGCCTGGTATGATTTTCATAATCATTAAATTCTATTGGCCACCCTATTGCTGTCATTGGTGAGTGGAAAATTCAGATGTCACTGGTGAGTGCCTTCTTCCTCCGCATCCTCACATTCTTCTAAGAGGGCTTGTAAATGGATCCTGTGAGTGTCAAGTCCAGATAACTAATTTATCCCTTAGAGCTCAATGGCCCCATCTTCTAGCCATATATATCTCCTGTCATTTTCCTGACTACACTGCAAATGCCCTCAGATGGTGTTTTGCTTCAGAGTCTGCACAATGGCAGAGGTGGAGGAGCACACTGGGTGCGTAGGAAAATAATTAGACCAGAGGCCAAGGCAATCCAGCAGAATGTCAAGGACAGGAATAAAGCTGGAGGTCAGTGATTAGAAACTCCAGGGAATGCACCAGAAGGAATCAATGCAGGTAAGAGAATTCATGGAAGAAGCTAATCAGCAGTGAAGTAGTAAATTTTGAACTGCAGCAGCACATCATTACAGTCCCCAGAGTCCTGCCCCCCAAGATGGTCCAAAAATGCAGGCAATAGTGCTGATCCATTTTATATCTATTAAACCACACACACACACACCCACACACACACACACACACCCACACCAGGAATTGCCATCACTGTGTCCACAGGTGTGAATGCACCCATAGAGACCCCTCCCCCATTGCTGAAATTAGGCTTGAAAGAAGCAATTTGGTGTAACCAGCAGTGTGTGCTTTGTTGTGGCCTCTGTGTGGTGCCAGCAGCAGTTTCTCTGGATTGCAAATGGACCTATGGAACCAAGGAAGCTGGCAACCCTTGGTATAAACACACACACACACACACACGCACACGACTTCACCAGCTTAACTTGTAAAACACACTGAGCTTTAACAAAATATCTTCAGTCAACTGAAGCAAAGGCAGTCTTGTGAGGCTATATCACCACTTAAACTGAAAGGGGAAAGTAGTAAATGGAAAAAAATATATCTAGCCTCTGCTTGATAATTTCCCTCATTCTCTGGTTTTCCCCATGCTAATCTGTCACAAACAAACTTGAAAGCCCCATTATCACTTCATTTACTTGCCACAGCAGGAAGAATCCGTCAATTACCTTGGTGCGCTGGCAGATTACATAATCACTCTTGCTGTGAAAAAAGTCCCAGAGCTCCCATTGCCTACATTTCCCTTCCACTGCACTACTGCTGATCAGTGTTCTGGCATAGTCAAGGCTTCTATGCAAGTTTAGACAAGAACAGACTTTTATAATTATTTATAATTGATTTATTTCATAAGATGATTCTTTGAATCAAACATCTCCACTTTGGGCCAGTGCCTCTCATGTGATTGACTGCAGGAATATGCACCATCAACAGGCTTGTTTGTTTTTAATGTGTATCCTGCCCCATACATTTAAGTTCACAGGCAGTCTCCCTTCTAGGCACTGACCATACACAAACCTGCTTAGCTTCAGTAATTTGGTGGCTTTATATGCCTTGAGTTGATACACAGGGACCCTTACAATCTTAGTGGATAACCTGGAGGTGCTACTTACATGAATCCAGATATGCCCCAGTTCCCAAGATGGTGGCTTCAAAAGGTGCCACAGTCATCACATGAATCAGAGTAGGCACATATATGCCACTGTCATCTGCAAAGTTATAAACAAACAAACAAACAAATCTGCATGAAAATTTGTATTCAAATACAGTCGGGCCACAAGTTATGCAGTGGTTATGTTTTGGAGATCATGCCTAAATTGAAAATCATGTATAGTCAAAACGCATTGGGTGCAATGGTGGGTTGGACTGCTAAAGTCCTTTATCCAAGATGCCCAACCCCTTTCTGCTCCCCCTTTCCTCCCTCCCTCCCTTCCTTCCTTCCTTCCTTCCTTCCTTCCTTCCTTCCTTCCTTTTTTTGCCAAGCTCATATGTGCACAAGTTAAATGTGTGTAATTTGTGGGTTTACGGTAGGTAACATGACATGCATTTCCCCTCAAAATATGCATTCCTACATGTAATTTGATATATATTTTTGAGCAGAGACCTGCTTCAGAATATTCTGGAAGAGAACTAAGATCCAATCTGCAATTAGTCCAAAAAGTATGTATCACATCAGCTCATTTCAGAATTGACAAAACTTGAATTCCTCAAGTATTCCTAGCCTTCCCAGCCCATTTTACACATCCCCCCCTCTTCTCCAAGATGCCACCTGCTTGGGGAGGAGTGAGTGGTTGCATAGGGGTAGGAAGAAGATGCCATGCTAACCAACTGGACTTGTCAAGTGGACTTGTCAAGTGTATTCATAGGGAACCCCCCCCCCAAAATGTTGAAGTTAAGAATTTAACAAAAGCCCTCCTGAATCAGGCCAAAGGCTCATCTTCTCCAGTATCCTGTTCTCACAGTGGGCCAACCAGATGCCCATGAGAAGTTCACAAACAAGGACTTGAGTGCAAGAACTGTGATTCCAAGCAACTGGTATTCAGAAGGTATTTTTCTGGTGTTCCAAAGGAACATTTGAAAGCTCTTCCTGAATCAAATTAGCTTTGGGGATGAGCCACAAGGGTCTCATTCATTTCTTTTAAATAACTAGAATCTCATTTTTCCAATAAGTTCCTCCCCACACAATCAAAGTAAAACCGAGGCAGAAATGAGGCTGGCCCAGCCCCCTTACAAGCATTAGCCCTCACTAAAAGTTGACATTTTCACTATCCATTTGCTAAACAATAAATCTCTTTTATGCACAGTCTGATTATTGATCTCCTTTTGTCTGTTATCTCTTTCGTAAGGATGCAGCACTTGGCTTCTAATGGCTGCCCACTTGCACAAGGTGAAGTCCCTGGAACCCCCCTCTGGATCCAAAAGCTACTTTGGGACGCTTCTGTGATGTTAAACAGTCATAAAATCCACCCGCCACAGCTGTCTAAAATGGAGGTTATTGCTTTTAGAGCAGATGGAGTGGTGCCAGAAGATGGAGAAGGATGGAGGGATAAATCCTGCAGCTACAATATCTAGGGAAGGGACAGGTTGACAGGCAACCCCAAAGAATCATCTGACAGTTTTGCAAGTCTTAAGGTCTAAACTCCCACAAGGATAGATGGGAAGTATTTGTAGTTAGGTAATTTTTGACTGCACTTCATGTAGGGCTTTTTAGTCCAGAAGAAAGACAAGCAACTGGGGTCATAACAGAGGTGAATAGAAAATTATACATGGTGTGAAGAAAGTGGAGAGAGGATTCCCCTCTTTTAATATTAGAGCTTGGGGGACATCCAATGAAGCCGAGCACTGGAGAATTCAGGACAGGCAAAAGAAAGAATTCGTTCCCACAATATGTGATGTTGGCCACCAACTTGGATGGCTTTAAAAGACAATTTGACAAATTGTAAAGGTAAAAGTAAAGGGACCCCTGACCATTAGGTCCACTCATGACCAACTCTGGGGTTGTGGCGCTCATCTCGCTTTATTGGCCGAGGGAGCCAGCGTACAGCTTCCGGGACATGTGGCCAGCATGACTAAGCTGCTTCTGGCGAACCACAGCAGCACATGGAAATGCTGTTTACCTTCCCACTGGAGCAGTACCTATTTATCTACTTGCACTTTGACGTGCTTTCGAACTGCTAGGTTGGCAGGAGCAGGGACTGAGCAATGGGAGCTCACCCCGTCGTGGGGCTTCGAACCGCCAACCTTCTGATCAGCAAGTCCTAGGCTCTGTGGTTTAACCCACAGCTCCACCCGCATCCCGTTGTAGGTCTCAATATTTCCTCTGCTCACCCAGGGCAAAGGCAAGTGAATACCTCTGTACCAGTGCAACATCACAGCATTAGTATGTATGATGTCATCAGAGTGACTCAGCTACTACACAAACAGCAGGCACTCTTAGTAAGTTTAGCTTAACCACATCATCTAAAACTGTTTTGTGGCACAGAAATGCTTGGAGATGGGGTGCAGGGGCAAGACCCAGTAGTCAATGCATTTTTCTGAGTGAAGTTGCATCCAAGGCCATCTTTAGCAGATGCGGCGCCAGGGTGCAAATATCCGCCCATTGCCCCTAAATTACCACAGATAGTTGGGGGCACAGCTGGTGGATGTGCAGGGAAAGGGGAGGCTGCTGGCAAAGCCGTGCAGCTCCCCCACTCACTGGGTGCACCTGAGAGGCCAGCGCCCTGGCGCAATGAACCACTAAGCCCTATGGGAAAGACGGCTCTGGCTGTATCTGAAGCAGTGCGAGACTGCTCCAGAAACTCCCTCACTGCATTTGGCCTCTCCAGGGTCAAATGCTGAAATACTGATTTGTTCTGGAAGTTTCAAGCAGAAGCTAGCTGTGTGGAGGCCCTGTGATGTTAAAAAGAACAACAACCCTACCCGCAATCATTGGAGCCATTTTGGCTGTTTAAAACAGTCTCTCTTTTAAATTAATGTGGCAATGAATGAAGAGATAAACTAATGAATATTGTAGTAAAGGCTTCCCTTTCACGAGACCACCATTTATTTACAGCTTTCTCTTCATTTCCTCCTTGTTCTCTCCTTTATTATGATAGCCTTTCCTCAGACTGGGTGACCAATGGTTAACTACTTCACAGGTGCATCCCTCTTTTTATTAACACACACTGAGATCTGGAGCTGGTAGAGATAATTAAAAAGATTTAATTAGATAGCGAGTTTAGATATGTCAGCTTTGTTCTGACATCCTCTCACAACAGTCAGACAACTGGTCCTTTGTTCTCTGCCTGATTCCAGGCTTATATAAGAGAGAACTGCTGGGTAACTAACATGAGGATGGCATTTGAAAATTAGAAGAGAGGTTTTGATTCTGCTTGGAGGCCGAAGTAGGCAAGATGGACCTACT